AATTATTATAGATGTTTTAAGGGTGTAAAACCCCTCACTACATACTTTATACACTTTTCTCAGACAGGCATCGACATTTTCACACGTTTCTCTCTTGTTTAAACACTCTCAAAGTTCAAATCTTGTAGAAAAATAAGTCCAGTATTATCGAATGAAACCAAAGATCAAACCCTGTTTTCAGGTCCAGAACATGGTCCAGAGCAGCAGCGAGAGAATTCAACATTAACGAATCGATGGTACGGAAGTAGAGGAAGCAAGAAGAATGAGTTCAGTAAAGTTTGACTTATCGGACTGTTTGGTTTCACTTAATGCTCCTTATAATCCTTTTGTGTTTGTTGTCTTCTGCTAGCGAAGATTTATGTAAATTTGACAAGCTGGACGCATTCTGTACTGTACAGGAGACACGGCACGATGAAATTGATTGAAAATGGTCTACAGTTGATCAGGATGCAGAACACAACGCACTGTGACCAAAAAAACAAAACAAAAAAACAGCGAGGCCGTGAAAACTGAACTGCGATATAACGAGGGACCACTGTATAACAAATCAAAAACTAAGGGAAACCTACAATACTTACTCAAGCGGTGTTGGTTTAGCTTGACTACAGAAGGTAACGGGCCTTTTTAAGCAGGCAGGGCTTCATTTCAACATTCCCCATGACCACCATTTTTTCCACGTACAGATACAAGGCCCCAGGAGCAACCATACATGTACACAGCCAAAAAACTCCACGCCACCCCCACCCGCACAGTTTTACTTCTATTTGGTTTTATAAATTGTAAAAGTTTCTTCTTCCTGAACATTTTTCTTAAATATTTAAACTTCGACCAGAAAAGCTCTTTCTTTGTAAACCAAATGATACCTGCTGGACGTGCTCTAATGCTACAGGCGTTGCCTGAGTGAAGAGCTCGATGTGAATGTTCTGACCAGGGTCCTCAAGGATTAAACATCCGATGTCAAACCACCTGGAAACAAAAAGAAGGTTTTGTTGTTGGTTTTAGAGCTTTTAACTAAATGTTAACGTTTTTGTTTGTTGCCACAAAAAAACATCAAACTGCATCAAACGTGAATATTTGACTTGCATTTTATTCAACACATGACTAATTATAAAGTAAATAATGGAAGATGAAAGGTGAATAGAAATGTAAAAAAGCATTTCTGTCCTGTTGTAGATGAAAACTGTTGTAGCCCAGCATCCAAGCATGTTTTTTTGTTTTTTATGGGATGCTCCAAGCTGTTTACAGCAGTACTGTGCACTGTTTGTGAGATGGAAAGTCCGCTAGGCCTCTAAGAATGTGTGTGCTTTCTTTTCAGAAGTCAGTCAAAACCTTCTTACTTGTCAGGAAAAAGTTCAGCAATGAAGTTTTCTAAAGAGACCACTGGCTGTCTCTCGTGGATCACACCAGCTCGACGCAGACTGTCAATGCGCTCCTGAGCCCCCTGCAGACACGCAGGGACAGACAGACACACACATGTGTATGACTGAAGCTGCAAACATCAGTGCTGTCAAGAACTAAACTGAAACAAACTCAAAAACAAGAAAAACTTATGTAACTGGGATATTTCAGCCTTTTATTTTGAACTAAGAAACAAATAAGTAATAAACTTAAAAATGACCAGATTGATATTTGAATAAACTAATACATCATTATAATTAACATTTTTCTCTTTTCTCCTTTACTGTGCGTAGAGATATTAACTAAAATGAGCCTTGACTCATAAAATGTGGAACTCTATGCAATCCAGTTTTTCAGAAGCAACCTATTTTGTGTTTTGTTTTTCCCACAATATTAAGACTTAGTTCTCAAAAGATTTTCTCCTAACACATCTAGCACTGCATGATTTATATACATTTTTATCTTCACACGTGATGGCCAGGCTTCCTGTTAAATCCAGAATTGAATTCAAAATCCTGCTCCTCACATACAAGGTCTTAAATAATCAGGCCCCATCTTATCTTAATGACCTTGT